CCTGAAAGATTTTATTTTTAAGTAATCTCTACACGCATTGTGGGTCTTAAACTCACAACCCCAAGATCAAGAGTTGCATGCTCTGACTGAGCAAGCCAGGCACCCTTCCTTTTTCATTTTGTGTGTGAGTTTTACCCTATTAAAAAATAGCTTATATAAAATTATTACTGTGTTATATAGACACTACAGCAAGCTATTAAAATGTTTTTGTTTCAGGTAAAGCAAGAATATGGTTTGGATTCTTTTAAGTTCATTAGCCCAAGCAGAAAATATTTTCTAATCATAACTAAGAACTTGTGCTTTCTGTTGATGCATATTTTTAAACTAGTAGTTCCATTTGACTTAAAATGTCTCTTTAAAATGATTTATAAGGGCGCCTGGGTGGCTCAGTTGGTTAAGCGTCTGCCTTCAGCTCAGGTCATGATCCCGGAGTCCTGGGATCCAGTCCTGCATCGGGCTCTCTGCCAAGCAGGGAGTCTGCTTCTCCCTCTCACCCTACCCCCTCTTGTGCTCTCTCTCTCTCTCTCAAATAAATAAAATAAAATCTTAAAAAAAAAAGTGATCACTCCTCTTTAAAAAAAAAAAAATAAAATGATTTATAAATATTCCTTTTACTTGTTTGAATCAAGCACGTATAGGTGTCCCTTGAATACCACAGGTTTGAATTGAGCAGGTCCACGTACAGATTTCTTAAGGGTCAGTACTGTAAATGTATTTTCTCTTCCTTATGCTTTTCTTTAATAACATTTTCTTTTCTCTAGCTGACTTTAAAAGTATAGTATAAAATACACATAGATAATATGTGTTAATTGACTATGTTATTTGTATTCTGGTCAACAGTAGGCTATTAGTAGTTAAGCTTTGGGGGAGGCAGAAGTTCTATGTGGATTTTTGACTGTGCTGGGGGTCGGCATCTCTAACTGCTCTGTTGTTCAAGGGTCTTCAGTATTTGGAACATTCTCACACCCCAGAGCAATTTGAAGAAACAAATAGTTTCTTCAGGTCTGGCATCTTGTTACTTTAAACTGGTTTTTAACTAATAGCTGCATTAAGCTTTTTCTAACTAAAGATGTACTAACTTTCATCTCTGCTGCAGATGGAGGAGGAGAAAATCATGGCCATGATGTAACTGCTACCCAATCAGATCCCTTTTTGACAAACTCATTGGAAAGTGAGAATTTTGCTTCTGAGTCAGGTAGAAGCCTAACAGAAGAACAACAACAGAGAATTGAGAGAAATAAACAACTGGCCTTGGAAAGAAGGCAGGCAAAGCTACTGAGTAACAGTCAGTCCCTTGGAAATGGTAAATTTTATGCTGGGTTTTATGTGCTACTGTTAATATATTAGGGGCATGTTAGAAATTTTAACTTCTCTACTATCTGCAAAATAAAATGCCTCTAGGAATAGAAAAATCTGATATATTAAGTTTATGTATATCTGAGAAAGAGCGTGTGTGTGTGTGAGCATGAGCTATTTGGAATCCTAAAAGAATAAATGAATCCAAGATGGTTCTCTGGATAGCGGAGTACCTCTTAAAAATGTTTTTTAATCACTTCAACTTGATTCTGAATCTTTCAAAAATACATTCTTCCCTGACTCCTTAAAGTGTGTGACACGTATTTTATCTTTATTTTTTTAAAAGATTTTAAAAATTTGAGAGAGAGAGAGTGCACAAGGAGGGGAGGGGCAGAAGGAGAAGTAGGCTCCCCGCTCAGCAAGGAGCCCAACGTGGGGCTTGATCCCAGGACCCTGGGATCATGACCTAAGCCAAAGGCAGATGCTTAACCAACTGAGCCCCATATTTTATCTTTAGCATCATAATTTTGAACATTCATTATTATGATACTTTCCTAAACATATAGAATGCCTTGTGCACCCTTTGAGGATTTTAGAGCCATTTGCTGTGACTTAAATAGGTCCTTACTTTTTATTGCATTGTGTCACTTACTGTCAGTTTGCTTATCTGATGCATTCTCTTCTATTTTAAAACTGTCTTAAGGGCTGCCTGGGTGGCTCAGTCGTTAAGCGTCTGCCTTCGGCTCAGGTCATGATCCCAGGGTCCTGGGATCGAGGTCCGTGTCAGGCTCCCTGCTCAGCGGGGAGTCTGCTTCTCCCTCTGTCTGCCGCTCCCCCTGCTTGTGTGTGTGCTCTCTCTCTCTCTCTGGTAAATAAATAAAATTTTTTAAAAAAGAAAATAAAACTCTTAAAATTTGCTATTTTTAAAACAGATTGGGTTTGCTAATGCAAATTGGTTTTGAATGAAGCAGATTGCATGTCTTTCTCAATTTCCAATGTAGTTTTCCTTTTGAAATGGGAAAATAAGAATTATGGTTAAGTAGTGAAGATACCATGTTATAAAACAAGTTTCACCCAAGATAATAAAATTTGCAAGTGAAAATTAGTATAACTACATTGTTGTTCTTTGCAATTAAAATCAGCTTAATCTTCAACTTTACAAATGGATATTTTATTACTACCACGTGAAAAATTACATGAAGCTCCACGTATCATTGATGGCAGTTCCTTTGCTGTCATTAGCAAAGTGTGCCTGGCAATAAGCATTTTAAGGCTCATCTTCTATTTATAACATATGACTTAAAATTTGCCTAAATAGAAATAAGGATCCTAAATTTTCTTTGCTAGAGATCACTTTGATGTATAGCTGTTAAGAGCATTTTTTTTTGAGCATTTGATTTTTAAAAACTTTCATCTAATAGCTGTGATTATTGAATGAGAACAGTTGCATTTGGCTATGATTCAAGAGTGAGTTCAGTACCTTTCAAGACTTGCATTTTTGAGTGGCCTTGATACGTGTATAAAAATGACTATTTGGAAGAAAGTGATCATAAATTTTATTTCCACTGATAGAAGCTTGTGGAGAGATTTATATTTATCAGGTCAGATTGGATCAGGTGCTTATAAGGAGTAATGATGATGATTTCTCTTTCAGACTTGTTAATAAATACACCCAGGGCACAGACCATTGAAGAGGTTAATACAGGTGAGGATCAAGAGGAGGAGTCATTAGATGGATTTAACAAAGACATTCTAGACCATCCACATAATAATGCTGCTGCCAATGCTGTAAATGAGGAGGAGCAATTAAAAATAGAGAACACACAACTGGACCAGTCCTTTTAAAATGTACAGTAGAACTTTATACTTTATCCAGAAATGTTACTGAGGTTGGATAGGCTTAAACTAAGAGAAAATCCATTAACCTGCTATCCTCTAAGTTTTAGATTAGTATGTATTTTGTCTGCTTGGAGTGAAAATCCTTATGTAGTAAGACTTTCACAGATTCCGATTTAAAATATGGTATTACTTATACTTGTTTCTTATTAACTTTAGTTGAGCCTATTTATTCTCTTTAGTGTTTTTATATAGATATAACTTTATAAAAATGATTAGTAGTTACAAGCACCTTCTGCTGCTAGTGTGCTACTGAATGTCTTGTTTTCACTAAATTGGAGGTTTTGAGATGTAAATATGTAATGAATATTAATGTCCATTTTTTTAAAAAGAAATAAAAATCTTATAAACTATCTGTAGAGGCTTTATGAAAGTTTCTTACTGCTATTTAGTTCTGCAATTATACTTTCGGTAAAATGTTTAAGGTTTCTATATGTGTTTACGTGTATTCTGAGGAGTCACTTTAAAAGGGTCACCTGAGGGCGCCTGGGTGGCTCAGTCGTTAAGTGTCTGCCTTCGGCTCAGGTCATGATCCCAGGGTCCTGGGATCGAGTCCCACATCGGGCTCCCTGCTCGGCAGGAAGCCTGCTTCTCCCTCTCCCACTCTCCCTGCTTGTGTTCCTGCTCTCGCTCTCTCTCTCTCTGTCAAATAAATAAATAAAAATCTTTAAAAAAATAAATAAATAAAAGGGTCACCTGAAAGGCTGTTGTCTTGCCTGGCCTGTGTTGGTGCTAGGGGAGTTCACATGCTCCTTGATACCTTACTGACTAGTGGGAGAAACTTGCAAAGCATCATGAGGAACACAGAGCACCTAGGGAGGATCCACATAGGGCGCCTTTGCGTTTGTGGAGGAGAACCCAAGGATTGGGAAGGACCTGTCTAATAATGATACAGAAATGGAAATCTAGGAAATAAAGACTTGGGAATGGCAAATATGAGGCTAGAAGTGTTAGGGCCAGTTGGTGAGAAGATCTGTTTGGAGTTTTTCCTGCCTGAGTTTATCAGCTTGGTGGAGGAGTAAATTACAGATAAAGTGCCATGTTGACAACTGAGTTTAAAGGTCTTTCTAGTTCATGGCAGATTTTGACGGGCAACAGGGAAAGGCAAAGCAAGTTTTTACAAACTAGGAGATGGGAAGTTTGCTTTTTTTTTTTTTCTTTTTTAAGATTTTATTTTTTTAAGTAACCTCTACGCACAACGTGGGGCTCGAACTTACAACCCTGAGATCAAGAGTTGCATGCTCCACCAGCTGAGCCAGCCAGGTGCCACGGGAAGGTTGTTTTTTATGAGACAGACTGGCACGGTGATGGTGCTGAAGTGGCTTTGGTTTCTATCTGTGAAGCTGGGACAGGCAGGCATCTTAATGCCATCAGGCTTGCTGACTTCTGTTGGGGATGGAGAGTGACAAGGATGGTTTGGCTGAAAGGCAGGAAGTTGAGCCCAAGAACATATACAGGTTGGGGGTGAGGGAGCCTCTGTGGCTGGCTGGGGACTGGCCTAGTGGCAGACTAAAAAGTTACTCTTCCAGGGTGGGATATACTGGCAAAGTAACAAGTCTTCAAAAGGGGCAAGGCCAATGCAGCTCCATCCCAGGAATACTCAGCAAAATGAGAGTGTGGAAAGGGAAGTTTGCGAGAACAGACCTTACCTGTGCACTCCACCCCACTCCCTGTGCCTTGTCCCCAACTGGTGTGGGGACAGCAGGGGAGGTTTGAGTCACATGAAATAGGAGTTTTAAAGTGGGCAGGTGGACAGAACTGTCTTACCTGAAGGCAACTGAAAAGTTAATCTGACAGCTGTCAGAGGGGCCTAGGACCCAAATGGCCCAGAGGAGCAGTTACTAGAAAAATTAAAACTTATTTTGAAAGAACGGATTTGAGACAAGCTAATCAAAAATCAATTCTGGATTTATTAAAAGAGACTGGCAATCTGACTTGCAGAGTCACCATTCACGATCTCTGCATTTCTGAAAAATCAGTTTCCGCAGGGACCTAACTTCTTTTTAAAGCAGCTTTAATTAATGATGAGAAAACGTTTTGCGCATTGGTGAACTATCTACCGCATCCCAATCGACTAGAACATTAGGTGACACGCAACATTAGATGTTAAGGTTAGAGAGAAAGTTGAAAGTGTTCTCAAAACAGCTCTTTTAATGAAGTAAAAAGAGTATTTCACATTCCATAACTGTTGGAAACATCCAGGAGAGCTAGATCCCTTATCTCCTCTAGGAGTGTGTACAGGCTTCTTCCCTTTGTTTGGCAGTATTTTTGATAATCTTCCTGAATGACGTTTACTTTGACTTCTTGGGCAAGCTGAGCTTCCTCCACAGATCTAGTTACTTCTTTCACTAAATCACTCTTTAACAAGAGGGAACTCTGATGAAAAAGTTCTGTATCTGGTATCATGTACGGTTTGTTGCTTATTATTTCAAGCCTGATTGTATCAGAATGGCAACGGGAGGCCTGTACGGATATTCTCACCTATCACAGAGGAGAAAATGCATATTACCAAATCACATTCTTTATACTTGACGTCGAAAACAATGCTTAATGTAAATATGGACTTACTGTTACATGGTCAAACAGATGGAACGTGACAGACTCCCCGCCTGTTGTGGTAGAGGTGATTTTGTTTTGAAATCGTTGAAGGGATCCCGGTTTCCATTCCGAACGGCTGTCTGAGCCACATGAGATCACCAAACCATCTTTATTTCTTAAATAAGCAGCACCTTTAATCCCAAACCTGAATCATTGCCAGAATAAAAATCCAGAGATAATGTATTCTTGTACACTCAATCTAGAATGCTAGTTTTTATTCTAGATCAAAAACAACTTTTCCTCTCATTTACCTCCAAATACTTCACTGAGCAGATGGAAAAATATTTTGCTAAATAAGGAAGTAAAATCCTATCTTAACACTAATACAGATGTACTAGATGCTAATCTCCTTTTATACTGTTTTTTAAGTAGGAGCCCAACATGGGGCTTGAACTCACGACCCTAAGATCACAACCTGAGCTGAGATCAAGAGTCAGATGCTTAACTGACTGAGCCATCCAGGCGCCCCTCCTTTTATACTTATATCGTGCATTATTCTATTATATTATGTACATCTGTACCTACAAATAGTTGTTATATTTTAACGAGTTATATCTAATGTACTGTTTGTGTTCTACACTTAGTTTACTATGATTTTTTTTTTTTAAGATCTTATTTTTTGAGAGACAGCACAAGCACAGCGCGGGGAGGGGTAGAGGGTAAGGGAAAGAAAGACTCTGCTGAGCAGGGAGCCCGATGCCGAACTCAATCCCAGAACCCCGAGATCATGACCTGACCGAAGGCAGACGCTTAACCGACTGAGCCACCCCGGCGCCCCGAGTGTAACTATGATTTGTTAACAGCTATTATGTTAGATGTAACATACCTTGGTATAAATACAAGCACACCATTTGTTCTAATTGAATATATAACCCCATCAGATATGCAACGCTCCTCATTCTCTGGGTCTTTGTCTTTAAAATACATGCACTGGAAGAGCTCAGTAGATTGCTTCTGAGAATGCTGTGCTGCCTGTAAGAAGAAGCACAACCCGCCGCACCTAAAGCATGCGGACATTCCCGGGGGAAACAGAATTCATACCCCCACAGAAACGATGTCTTTAAAAAAGGTTGGACTCTAGAAAAGTATTAATACAAATATTCTTCTCTATTATGAATTAAATCAGTTTTGTGGGAACCTAACCATCCAGCAATCTTTCCCTCAAAAATGTCTTTTTTAGAAAATTAATTCTTTAAGAAAAAACCTGTTATTTAAATCTGTTACAGTTCATTCAGGTAGAGGAAAGTACCCATATCTATGCCTTGCCTTTATTTTCAAGTCTGTTCTACCGTAGTCCTGCTGGTGCAAGTATAAATTAGTATTGCTGTCCTGGAGGGCAAGTTGGTAATTGTATCAGAGTTTTATTTGTGCACACCTTCTGAGTCAGCAATTCATTATCGCCAGGAATATATCCAGGCAACAATCTGAGAAGTCTGTAAAAGTGTATATACAAGGATGGCTATAAACTGGGTTGCCCAGAACAACGGCACTGCCTAACAGAACTTTCTGCAATGATGGAAATGTTCGATACATCTGTGTTGCCCCAAAGGTAGCCACTAGCCACACATGTCTAGGAGCGTGTGAAATGTGGCTCGTGCAACCGAGGAACTGAATTTTTAATTTTTAAGAATTTAAATAGCCCCTATGGCTAGTGACTATAATATTGCACAGCAGTGAACTAGAATACAGGATACAAAAACTGTATTAAACATTTAGGTAGTTTCCAATTTTTCTGTATCACCAAGTGCTCTCCTCTATGCTGTACAATATCGTAGCCACTAGCCAACAATATGAAATACAATACAAAGCAGCTTCTAAAAGAAAGATGTCATTACTCTGAAGTGATGCTGTCAGTAACAGATGTGTCAAGTGCAAAAGATTTCAGAGAGCAGGTATGGTACCATTTTTTGTTGTAAATAAAAAAAGCATTGTCTGGAATAGTGAATAATGCCTATCTCGGGGTGGTAAGATGATCCGTGGTCTTTTACAGGTCTACTTTTTGGGAAAAACATCTAACCTATTGTTAAATCTCCTAAACCCACATTAAGTGACTTCATAACATCTATAAATGTATTGAGAGCAACACAAGAAACTTTACAATTTTTCATGTTATTTCGTTGGGGAGAATAATGCAGAATTTAATGCGCTAGAATATATGGCACTTCGTTCCACCACATAATAAAACTGATATTCTCTTAGCAAAAGAGATGATGGGTAAGAGAATTTAAAATCCCCTCTTACTCGGTTTCTGTTGTTGATGTGTCTGCATAATTCCTCAAGATCTTTGTTGCTGAACAAATTGTCCTTAATTTCCATTTTCTTATCTTTCGAAATGGCTGCCATTAACAATCGGTGTACTACTATATCTGAGTATCTTCTGATCGGAGATGTAAAGTGAGTATATTTATCTAATGCAAGGCCTTCAGAAAGAAACCAAAAGATGGAAGTCAACAAAAAAATATAGTTTTTAAACGACCTGCTCAAGGTTATGGCCACACAAAAGGAAATGCTATCATTCACCATAATGATGGAACTCTTCCTCCGCACACGACCCAGTGGAGAAATACAGTGCATTAGACATGGCCTGCGTGGCCATGGATCGCAGCAACCTGTTTACGATGGGATCGTTGGGGTCATTCGCATTATCCAGAGAATCAGCCAGTGTTTTATTGGACCTGACAAAAAAAATCGGAAAGACCTTTATTTAGTCCCCAGCAACAATGTACAAGTCAATACTCTGAGGGAAATCTTTCACTC